TCTGGCCTCCATGCAGGAACAAGCTTCTCCCTGCCTTTGGCCTCTCTGGCTATGAATGCACCATTTGTCCAGCATTACTTGGACCCTGCAGGTCCTGTGTCCTTGCATGAAACCCAAGGGAAACTGCCAAGAGGGAGAGCAGTGGGACATCTTGTCTGTACCTGACTATTCCCCACCCAGCCGCAGTGAGGGTGGCGGAGCCACTAGGGCAGGAAGCAGCACTAGTGGGAACACCAGTTCTGTGGGCCCCTCCCTGCCTCACCTCTGATTATATCTGCCTTTCCTCCTCCCACCAAAACCTGGGCTTCTCAGGGGAAGCAGAGCCAGCTTTGAGAAGGGTGGGGATGGAGGGAGAATAGGTTTAAGGGTGTGTCCTGGAATGTGCTTAAAATGGGCAGAGGGAACCCACCTGTTCTGGAAAGGGATTGACAGCTTTCCCTCTGGTCCCAGACCATTTCCCAGACAGCAAGATGCAAGAGAGTCCAAGACCTGCAAGTCCCAACTTGTGTGCGGAGAACATCAGCTGGTACTGCAGAAGCCTCGCAGCCCAGACGGGCTTCTGCAGGGTGAGGCTGAGGGTGGAGTGCCAGGTGGTCTCGGGTCCCTGCTCAGGGCAGAAAGACACACACGTTCTCCCACCCAGGCTGAAGGGAATAGAAGTTGAAGTTAAGTACAGAAAAACATCCTTTCCTTCCCCCATCTTGAGACCAAGACAGTCTGCTACAATAACTCTGCTTCCTCTTTTTGACTGTTGAACTGGACCTAGATATATCCTGAAGTTATCTGTAGACTTTCCATCTCTCCCTATCATACAATGATCTTTCAGACCGGAAGAAACTGTCTTACGCATTGTTCTTCCCCTTATATACATACAAGTGGGAGTTTTGCTCATGGTGATGCTCAGCAATGTCTGGAGGGGAGACAGACCAGATGACACCTGACTTTTCAAGAGCTGCCCACTTGGGAAGTCTGTTGGACTAGACTCTATAGCCAACTTAATGATTTTTTTTTTTTAAGATTTATTTATCTATACATGCAAGAACTGGGGTGTAGCCCAGAGGTGCAGGGCAGGGGAGGATTCACCAGAGACAGAGCAGGGAGCAGAACAGGCGGATCTACTGAAATAGACTGCTGAGGGGCGCAGCAGATGAGACAGGAGAGGTCTGCTGTGCCATATGTGGGTCAGCTCCCTGACTGGGGATCAAACTCAGGCCATCACAATGGTAGCACTAAGACTTATCTGTTGAACTTCTCAAAATGGGCTGATGACAGTGGGGAGGATTCCTTCTTGACAGACTCATAGGGCGTTAAGAGTGCAGAGACAGCTTAGAGACTGTCCATTTGATGTTAAAACATTGTATTAAGCACCTATTATATGCCATGCATTGTATCACTAGGTGCTGGTGAAATTTTTTACTCAAGATGAAAATCCATTTAAAGGCCATGTCACAAGTGAATGCAAGGCCACAATTAAATCTTGCATCTTACTGCCTGTGTCCCCCGGGCTTTCACCCACTTGCCTTCCCCCTGTAGCCCTGCTTCCTTATCCCATGCCTGGAGTGTTTAGCCTTGACCAACTGGTCCTGTCTGGGGTATGTGCCCATAGGGGTCAAATGAGGGGTTGACTCATCAAGTGCATACAGCCCACAAACACTACCCATGATGCCAATGCTGAGGGGCAGCTTAGGGAGCTGGTTAAGAGCTTGGGGTCAGAGCCCGACTGCTTGGGTGCAAATCTGTGCCTCAGTTTCATCATCTGTAAAATGGCGTGATAGTACATCAGCCCATTTTAAGAAAGTTCAAAGTTTCTACACCACAGGTCTTTGTGAAGATTAAATGCATCATTTAAGTGCTTAGGACAGTACTTGGCCCACAGTGTAAGTACTTCATAAATACTTGCTTTCATATTTTATTTTTAAACTTTCAGTCCACTAAACTTATCTGGATTTGGGTGTGAGAATGAATGGATGGGGTTATAACGGGGTGCAGAACTTTCCAGTACATCCCAGTGGTTGGGTGATTCCCAGAAGTGTTTATCCTTGGTCCAGGCCCAAACAGAAGTATCAAGCTATCCGAGAGGCCTTCTGCTTTAGGGTATGTGAGCAGCTGAGGAGGGTGTCCGTATACTCCACTTGAACTCATTTCCTCTTCCTCAAGTGGAAGGTCAGCCTGTGTCAGACATGATACATAACTACTATCTTGCACTGAAACTCCTGATTTTCTGACTTTGCAGCTGGACACATAATTATTTGATCTGGAGCTTTTATGTGATGCTGAGAAGAGCAGAAACCAGAAAAGGGACAAAGAGAAAGGAGGATCGGGGCATGAAGACAGCACTGAGTTCTAAGGCCTGCAGGATTGCTTCTTCCTGGAAATTCAATACTGACCCGGAGAAAGGTGGGGCTTGTTCCCAGCTAATGGCCATTGCCCTTTGGTTGGGTGTAGGGTCCCCTCTCCATCACCCTTCTAAAGCCCATCATATGGTTCTCCCTGGCCCTTTCTTTACTTTTTTTTTTTTTTTTTAATAAATTTCCTGCAGAAAGAGATCTCCATAAATAGACATAGCATCATGATCTTCCAAAGACCACCAAAGCTACCTAACACACCAAACTGTTAACTTTTTTTTTTTTTTAAGATTTATTTATTTATTTATACAAGCACTGGGTACAGTCAGAAGCGCGGGAGGGTGAGAGAATTCACTAGAGCCAGAGTGGGGAGCACAACAGGCAGAAGGACCGAAGTACACTGCTGAGGGGAACAGCGGCACAGCAGGAGAGGTTTGCGTGCCATGTGGGGCCCTCGCCCGGGGATCGAACTGGAGCTGCAGAGGCTGCAGGCATCTTCGCAGCCCAGCGCTCAACCGCTGTGCCACGAGGGGAGGAGGCCCCCTACCTTTTTTTTTTTAAGATTTATTTATGTACACAAGAGGTAGGGTATAGGTCAGAGGTATAGGGGGTGAGAGGACTCACCAGAGAGACAGAGGCGGGAGCAGAACAGGCAGACTGACTGAAATACACTGCTGAGGGGAGCAGTGGGCAAGACAGGAGAGGTCTGCTGCGCCATGAGGGTAGCTCCCTGGCTGGGGATCAAACTCATGCTGCAGTGGCTGCCAATAGCTTTATAGTGCTGACGCTTAGCCCTTTGCGCCACCAGGGAGGCCAAAATTCCTATTTTGTAAGAAGTAGAAGAGGAATAAAGAAGGGTAAGTTCTCTGTCTTTGAAGAGTTTAAAATCAAGTAAATATAATACATAGGGAAAAAGTCCTAGTGCTACACAACTTGTGAGCACTGATGCTCACGTGTAAGCAAGAGCAAATGAGTACTGTGAAGTTTGATGTGTTCACTGACCACACATTTATGAACATCTCCTCTCTGGTGGGGTCCTTGTCCTCTAGGCGATCCCTTTGTAATGTGTGTAACGTGTGTTTGGCATCTGCATTAATATTACTCCTGACATACCAACCCTGAGATTCTCGGGAGATGTCATTGTTTTGTTTTTTTTAATTTTAAGTAGTCTTCCCTGCTAGATTTTCAACTCCTGAAAGAGGTTGATGAAAAAATACCATGGTAGGGAAGGCTGTTATCTCGCAGAGTTCATGAGGAAACAGCTAACTCTAAGACCAGAGTATTGAGCTGAATTCTTAGGTGGGGGAAGGAAAGAGAAGTAGAGCCAGCTGAATCTGAATGGTCAAGGTTAGTATTTTATCAACATGTTGTTAAAGACTGTGAAGGAGCCCAATGAATGAGTTTCCCAGTTCTTCCAGTCACTCACAATGCCCTTCCCTGCATCCCACATCAAGGAGTGCTAGATCCTGTTTTCTGAAACAAATCTTGTCGTTGGAAGGATCAAGCCTGGAAGGCAGAGAGCTGGATGTCAGGGCAGTGGTATTCAATATTGGTGACCGCAGAAAACTTTTTTTAAGATTTATTTATTTTATACATACAAGAACTGGGGTACAGGCCAGAGATGTGGGGGGTGAGAGAATTCATCAGAGTCAGAGTGGGGAACAGAACAGGCAGATTGACGGAAGCACACTGCTGAGGGGAACAGGGGGAGACAGGAGAGGTCTGCAGCGCCATGTGGGTAGCTCCCTGGCCGGGATCCAAGTAGCGCTGCAGTGGCTTTGTTATAGAGTAACCCCGATATTAAACGGGTTCCTGGCTGTGGGTCCTCACCCGCGCGCTTTAAAGGGATTTATGAATACACACACAAATACAGACACACACACAAAAGGGTTAATAAAAGGTTTATTTACAAGAGAAAAGGAAATAAGGAAAATATACAACTCAGGGAGAAAATAGGGAAATAAAGTCTTTAATGCGTCCTACCCGATCCGACGATCTGGAAACCCAAAGTCACTCTCAGAGCTGGCCAGTCGCTACGAGCTGGTGGAGAGCCAAAATGGGGGAACCCCAAAGCCCACTTGTCTGCCTTTTGTATCCACCTGGCTGCTTACCCCACCCTCAGGTCCCAGCCACCTTCCCTTTGGTGGTGATGGGATTTGGAGTTCCCAGTGTCTTTGGCTTTGACCTGGGGTGGGGGTGGAGTCCACAAAGCCTATATGGAATTTGCTTTGGGACATCCTTTTCTTAACCCCTGTGCCATCAGGGAGGCCAGACCCTAGAAGACTATTTTTAAAGAATTCCATGAAAGGGTCCGCCATCCCCCTCCCCACCCTAGTAACCCAAATCAGGTGTCCTTCCAAGTGCTTTTTGTTTCCTAGCCTGTTTCTCTTCTCTGAAATTTAAACTTTCTGAGCTCTCAAGATAAGAAAGAAGCAGCGGCCTGGCTTTCCTGATAGCGACTAAACTTCAGTTAGCTGAGGAAGGTCCTCAAAGTTGTCTCAGTGGAAAAAGAGAGGAAATCCGCGCCCCCCAGAGGTCTTAACGCCCAGAACAGGCGGACCCCCGCGGGCGGGCTCCGGGTGAACCGCCCAGCGGTCGGTAAACTACAACTCCCAGCATGCCGCGCGGCTCGCCGGCGTCACGCACTTCTCGCTGATTGGTCCCTGCGGATATTTGAAAGGTGGGGCTGGCGCGGAAACGAAGGTTAAGTTTGGGCTCCTCGCGGGACGCTTCGTCTGACTGGTAAGTCTTGGGCCCAGAAAGGATCGTGACCTCCGGGTGGCCGAGACCCGGGGGCCCCCGTGAGCGTGTGTGTGCGCGCCCAGGTGAGCGGGGGTCCCCGAGGCTGACGTGAGGGCGAGGCGGGCGGGGAGGAAGGCCTGGGGCGGCCTAGGGGACGCTGGCGGCTGGCGGAGCCCTCCGGGCCGGGCGGCGGGCGGCCGGGCGATGAGGCGAAGAGGCCGGGGAAGGAGCAGCGGGAACATCAGTTGGCAATGGGAGCTCGACGTCTGGGCTTCTTGGCCTTTTCCCGCCTGATGGGATTCTCCTCCCCCTCCTTCCGCGGTTTTCAAGCCCTTCTCGCGTCCTCCGTTTAGGTCCATTAAGATTTCCCTAATCCCCGTCTTTTCTCTAGCGTTTGGGAGCCATGAGGAACTTCAAAGGAGTCAACTTTGGGACGCTGCTGAGCAACCCGAAGGAAGCCGAACAGTTGCTCCCTGACTTGAAGGTGAGGATGCTGTCTGGCCCTGGCTACACTGGGTTACTAAGCTGAGCTGTTTTGTTTGATTTTTGCCTTATCTGGGGAGATAGATTAGTAGGAGCTCAAACCCTGAGTGACCATTCTAGTTCCTTTTCCTGCCTCTTTCACTCCATCAGTAGCCCCATTCACATCTTCCTTTCCTCCTAGGAATTCCTGTCCACGCCTCCAGCTGATATTTCCAGTTGCCGATCTGATGCAGAGAGAAGACAAGCTTGTGATGCCATCCTGAGGGCTTGCAACCACCAGCTTACTGCCAAGCTGGTTTGCCCTGGGCACCTGGAGAGCCTGCTGGAGCTGGCAGAGTTGGCTTGCAGTGGCTATTTAGCGTCTACCCCCCAGCGCCCACCCCTCTACCTGGAACGAATTCTTTTCATCTTTCTACGGAATGTTGCTGCGCAGGGAATCCCAGAAGCTACACTTCGTCTTGCTCAACCCCTCCATGCCTGCTTGGTGCAATGCTCTCGCCAAGCTGCTCCCCAGGACTATGACGCTGTGGCTCGGGGCAGCTTTTCTCTGCTTTGGAAGGGGGCAGAAGCCCTGGTGGATCAGCGAGCTGCATTCTCAGCTCGGCTAAAGGCCTTGAGCTTTCTAGTACTCTTGGAGGATGAAAGTACCCCTTGTGAGGTTCCCCACTTTGCTTCTCCAACAGCCTGTCGAGTGGTAGCTGCCCATCAGTTATTTGATGCCAGTGGGCATGCTCTGAGTGAAGCAGATGCTGATTTCCTACATGACCTGCTCTCTAGGCATGTGATCCAAGCCTTGGTGGATGCGGGAGGAGGCCCTCCTGGTCCTCTTTCTCCCCAGAGGGCCCTCTGTCTCATGGAGCTCACCCTGGAACACTGCCGTCGCCTCTGCTGGAGTGGCCACCACACCAAGGCCACCAGGGCACTGGAAAAGACCCGTGATTACTTAAGGAACACCAGTCTGGCCCCTAGCCTCCATCTTTGCCAGCTGGGGATTGAGCTGCTACAGGTCGAGGAGGGAAGACCCCAGGAAGTGGTCAGACTTCTGATTGAGGCATGCGCTGTCCTGAACCATAGTATGGAGGCACCATCACCCCCACTGCGGGCCTTGTGTGACAGCTGCCAGTTCTTCCTCTCAGGCCTGGAGCGAGGGACCAAGAGGCGCTATGAACTTGATGCTATTCTGGGCCTCTTTGCTTTTCTTGACGGATACTGCTCCCTCATCCGGCAGCTGCAGGATGGTGTGAGTTAAGAACCTAGAGGTAGGGTGGGAGTGTGGATCTGTGGACTCACTATCAACCTAAGGTTTTTAATAAGATTTGGAAACCCTGGCTCCCTCCCTTAATAGGCTACACCCTGGGCTGTGCTCGGCCAGGCAGCAAGCAGCCTCGTCTTCCCCGAGTGGGCAGTGGTCCTTATGTCCTTCCTTCCCCCTGAGCTTGTCAGCCCTCAGGGCTGTTCAACTTAGAGCTCATGCTTTATCTCTGCCTCAAACCAGCCTCTTCCTCCCTTCCTCAGGTGTGTGAGGTCTCCTCCAAGCAGCACCAGTCTTTGGTACAGATGCGCTTTCAGGCCCTTCACCTCTACACTGTGGTCATTTATGACTTTGCCCAAGGCTGTCAGGTACTGCCTAGGAACTAAGGAACCTAGTCTGGGTTTGCTCAACTGCCTTCAGTAGAACTTTGGGTTGGCTTTGGGCATGGGTGGGGTGGATGTCACTTTGGACCTGTCATGACTCCTCTCATCCTGAAACCCTTCTTGTCCCTTCAGGAAGCTGCTCTGGCTGACCTGGCCCGCCTAGTGGAAAGTTGCAAATCTACAGCGGTTTGGATGCTGGAGGCCTTAAAGGGCCTGTCGGGTCAAGAACTGACTGATTGCCTAGGGATGACTGGTTAGTACCTTGGGGCCCAGACCCAGGGTTCTTGGGAGGGTCATCAGCCCTTGGACAGGCAAAGAGCACTTGCTGAATGGTTCTGACACTGTGGGTGCACCATTTGGTTTAATGAGGCAATGAAAGAGATGTTCATAAATGCCAGTTTCTCTATATTTAATAGCAGTAGAGAAGCGGATGAGGCTAACTTAGCAGGGGGCATGGTGTTTTTTTCCGTTGGCTTTGATGTCTGATGTGATATTTTGTTTCATGAAAACATTTGCAACTGATAAGCCACTTTATGACCTTTCTATTTATTTCAGTTTTTTTTTTAAATAATAAATTTTATTTTTATATTCCCCATACAATTGCAACCCCCCCATTCTGACCCCAATCCCTCCCCTCCCGCCCCCACCCCCCTATTTATTTCAGTTTTAGAGAACATTTATCACTTAAAAAATTTTAAAATCATCCACATGATTCAAGATTCAAATTATACAAAAGGGCATGCATAATAAGTCCCTCTGACACTCCTAAACCCTGGTCATCAAAGTCTTCCTCTGTAGGGGGGTGGGGGGCGGGAGGGGAAGGATTGGGGTCAGAATGGGGCGTTTGCAATTGTATGGGGGAATATAAAAATAAAATTTATTATTTAAAAAAAAAAAAAGTATTGAACAATCTGGTTCATTTTTCCCCAATAACCTGTAATAACTTAATGGATGCCAGTGTCTGGAAAAAGGCAGGATATTAGCATGAAAGAAAAGTGATCTTTTAAAAACTTTACAATAGAGATATAAAATTAGGAGAAAGTTGAGCATAATAAAAATTTGGTCCAATGGGAAAAAAAAAAAAAAGTTCCTCTGTAGATACGTCTAATAATATCAATTTCTTGTGTATCATTCTAGAGATATACTATGTATATATATGCACAGAAGCATGTACACATACTTCTCCCCTCTCTTCTTATTGAAATATGCATACAGAAAAGTACAAATTCATGAAGAGTACATTTTATAACCAACATTTAGTCAGGTAACAGCATGACTTAGACCCAAAAAAACCCCTTCTGTGTCCCCTTCCAGCCACTGCCTCCTGACATAACCACTAGACTAAAAGCCTACGTTACTTTTGTCTATTTTCTTCACGAGGAATTTCTCCCTCATTTTACTAAAAGTGTGGCTTTTAGTTTAAACGATATGAACTTAATGAGTTCAGCCATCGAAAGTTTCAGAGAACTCTTAGTCATAGTTTCAGGAGTTGAATCTAGCCACAGAGATAAAGATATCAGGACTTAGAAAAATTATTTGTATGAAAGTTTTACCCACAGAGTAGTAAAGGCCATCTGTATTTTCTCCCACTCGTCTATGTTAATAGCCTAAAAGCTACACAAACGAGTTATTAGAATTTAAGAAAAAAGTCTGTTCATTCAACTATGTATTATGTACTATGTGCTAAGCACTGTGGGAATACTTGGCTAAGTCAGTAAACAAGAAAAGATCCCTGCCCTCTTGAAACTACATTCTTGTTGAGGAAGAAAGAAATGAACATACTCAATAAACTTAGTGAATTATCAACATGTTCAAAATACAGGGGGAAAGGAAAGGTAGGGCAGTCTCAGAAAGGGAATTAGGGGCTCAGGGTGGATGGGGGCGGCAAGTTACCATGTTTAACAGGTGGTCAGGGTAGGCCTTGGTGCGCGGGTAACATGAGCACAACTTGGAGGAGGTGGGAGAGGTGGCCGTGTAAACCCGGGGAAGGAGGCAGAGGAAACAGCCCGTGCCCACGCCCTAGCCAGAAGAGGGACTGGCGTATTCTTGGAACAGCAAGGAAGCTAGTGTGGCCTCCATGAAATGAAGGAAAGACAGTTAAAGGACAGGCCAGAGGATGTGTGCTAATGTGCTGACCTTTGGAGCAAGATGAAGACAGATTGACTTGGGGGGGGGGGGCGAGGTGGGATGGGCCCTGGATGGGAATGAGGCCTTGGCTCTTGTAAAACAGGGAAAGGAGAGCTGCCCCTTTCTTGTTCCCAAATGACAGAGGTTGCTGTCTCCTCAAACAGCTGCTGAGCTGTTACAGATTGAGCTGACCACAGATTGAGGTCTCTGCTGCCTTCGGTCATTCCTCCAATGGGAGTCATGTCTGTGATCAATTGTCCTTTGTCTCCCCTACAGCCTCTTACACCAGCAACTTAGCCTACAGCTTCTATTTTCACAAGCTCTACACGGAGGCCTGTGTCATCTCCGAGCCCCTCTGTCAGCATTTGGGTGCAGCGAAGCCAGGCACCTGTCCTCAGCTGCCTCCTGAGAAGGTGAGAGAGCAGGAAGGGAGGTTATGTTGGGGGATGGAGAAGACTTGAGGGACATGAAAGGGCCTCGCCAGAACCCTGCCCTGAGTAGGATGTTGAGAGCTGCATGTAGGCACCAGTATCTGGGGCAGTGTTTCCAGGCCTCACCTGCCCATTAGTTATTTTTTTACAGAAGTTTTTTCTTTTTTTGTAGAAGAACTGGGGTGTAGGCCATAGGTGCTAAGGGTGAGATGATTCACCAGAGACAGAGTGGGGAACAGAGCAGGCGTATTTACTAAAATACACTGCTGGACCTCCCTGGTGGTGCAGGCGGTTGAGCGCAGCGTTGTTATGCTGTCTGTAGCCTCTGCAGTGGCAGTGCCGGTTTGATCCCCGCCAGCCTTGAAGCAGCCCACATGGCGCGGCAGACCTCTCCTGTCTCACCCGCTGCTCCCCTCAGCAGAGTGTTTTCAGTCAGTCTGCCTGTTCTGCTCCCCGCTCTGACTCTGGTGAATTCTCTCACCCTCCAGCGCTTCTGACTGTACCCAGTGCTTGTATAAACAAACAAACAAATAAACAAACATAAATAATACATGCCTCTTAAAAAAAAAATAAAATAAAATACACTGCTGAGGGGAGCAGCAGGCAAGATAGGAGAGGTCTACTGTGCTATGTAAGTCAGCTCCCTAGCTGAGGATTGAACTCAAGCTGTAGCAGTGACAGCTCTGAGACTCAACCCCTAGGCCACCAGGGAAGCCCTGCCCCATTATTTACTTAATATTTTTCCTTCGATTGACTCACTTTTTACATTAAGCCTTGTCCCCAGCCAGTGGTTCTCAAGCTGGCTGCACATTAAAGTCATTGGAGTGAACTTAGAATATTCTAAGGCCTACCCCAAGCTAATTTCATCAAATCTCTGGTGCAGGAGCCCAGTCATCTAGACATTTTAAAGGTTCTTGAGGTGGTCCTAGGACAACCAGAGTGAGAACCACTGTCTTAAATTGAAGGAATAGTCATCACTGATAGGTTGTCTGGATTGGCAGGCAGGATAGGCTGTGGAGGACCTCACGTTTCACCTTGAGTGAGGTTGATGAGCCTCTGAAGGATGGAAGGGGAGCCACAATAGCAGATTGGCATTTCGGATTTTTCTGGCATTACTGCTTAGAGGAACGTGAGGATAACAGGTGGCCTAGGCAAGAAAGGGAGGGTGGACTGAAGCAGCTGCCCGAGGGATGGGAAGAAGTGGTTGGGGACAAGAGGTCAGGGTTTAACCTGTTAGGTGACTGGCTGTGGGAGAAGGAAAAGCGTCAAGCATGGCTTCACATTTCTCGCTCAAGTCCGGGACTTGCTGAGGACAGCAGGAGGGCGATAGGTCCGCAGGGGCGTGGGTGATGACTGTGGGTGGAGGATGCAGTGAAGCCTCAGATTGGAGACCACCCAGGTACTTATACTTCTTTTCTGGGTTCTCTCTCAGGGCCAGGGTGTGGGCAGGAGGAGCACAATGTGGGCGCCTGTGCGTGCCTAGACTCTCTCCTGAACACGTTCAATGTTTTCTCTCCACTTTGGTCTGTTCTCATTCTCAGCTGCATAGGTGCTTCAGGCTGCATGTAGAGAGTTTGAAGAAACTGGGTAAACAGGCCCAAGGCTGCAAGATGGTAACCTCTTGGCTGGCAGCCCTACGGCCCTGTGGCCCTGAGCACATGACTGAGCCAGTCACCTTCTGGGTCCGGGTCAAGATGGATGCAGCCAAAGCTGGAGACAGGGAGCTACAGCTGAGGTGAGCTGGTGGGATGGGGAACAACCACGTTTACCCCACATTTACACCTGGCTTCTTGTATTTTTGGTCATGTTTACGCTTATATCTGAAAAGGCACTGATGCCTCCATTCATTATTCTTTTTTATTAAGATATCTTTATTTATGCATACAAGAGATGGGGTGTAGGCCAGAGGTGCAGGGGGGCAAGAGGATTCACCAGAGACAGAGTTGGGTACAGAACAGGTGGACTGACTGAAATACACTGCTGAGGGGAGCAGCAGGTGAGATAGGAGAGGTCTGCTGCACCATGTGGGTAGCTCCCTGGCTGGGGATCGAACTCGAACTGGTGCTGTAGTAGTTACCAATTGCTTCATAGTGCTGACGCTTAACCCTTTGCACCACCAGGGAGGCCCCCCATTCATTATTCTTTGAGTGCCTACTCTGTGCCAGCCACTGTGCTAGGTACAGGGGAACAGTGTTCTTGCTTTTAAGTCTCCAGTTAACTGGAGACTTAACTGCACTCTCAGCAAGCCACGGCTGAGGCAGGGACTCTGTGCCTTACCGGCTTCCCCCGGTGCTGACCTGCCCTCTCTCAGGACCCTGCGAGACAGCCTGAGTGGATGGGACCCGGAGACCCTGGTCCTCCTGCTGAGGGAAGAGCTGCAGGCTTACAAGGCGGTGCGGGCCAACACGGGGCAGGAACGGTTCAACGTCATCTGTGACCTGCTGGAGCTGAGCCCAGAGGAAACAGCAGCTGGGGCGTGGGCACGAGCCACCCACCTGGTGGAACTGGCTCAGGTGCTCTGCTACCATGACTTTGCCCAGCAGACCGACTGGTGAGAGGAAAACCTGGGAGGCCACTGATGCTTCTTGCCCTAGTTTCTGTTACTCTCTTCAAAGCCTTTCTCCTTTGCCATGACAGTGAGCAACCCTTCAGGCTGTGACCATGTCATTCAAAGTGTGAGGCCAGCTGTCATGCAGAAGGCTCAGCTTAGGTGCATCCTCTTCTCACAGCTCTGCCCTGGATGCCATCCGGGAAGCCCTGCAGCTTTTGGAGTCTGTGAAGCCTGATACCCAGACCAAGGACCGGCTTCTGGATGATAAAGCACAGGCCCTGCTGTGGCTCTACATCTGTACTCTGGAGTCCAAGATGCAAGAAGTGAGTGTGGCTGCTTTGGGACTCAGCACAAGTGGGCATAGAGGATATTTCCCCTGAGCCCTCAGTAACTAGTACCAGCTCTTCTTCTACCCCTGATCTCCTTATCCAGGGTATTGAGCGAGATCGAAGAGCCCAGGCCCCTCGTAACCTGGAAGAATTTGAAGTCAATGACCTGAACTATGAAGACAAACTCCAGGAAGATCGTTTCCTATACAGTAATATTGCCTTCAACCTGGCCGCAGATGCCGGTGAGTGTTGTGAATGTAGAGTGGCATGGGATAGTGTTTACTCTATGGCTTCCTATGAGTAGAACACGAACACCACGTGTGGGTGTGGGAGAGGCTGGCCTGTAGGCCGGGTGCATAAAGCACAGAGGGTGTTATGAAGAAAGCCACTTCCTCCCCAGATGTCTTATGCTGAGAGAATGGCTGGTCCCTTTCTTCCAAAATGTAGCTCAATCCAGTTGCCTGGACCAAGCCCTGGCCTTGTGGAAGGCGGTGCTCACCAAGGGGCAGGCCCCAGCCGTGCGGAGTCTTCAGCAGACAGCGTCCTCACTGCAGATCCTAGCCGCCCTCTATCAGCTGCTGGCAAAGGTAGTGGGGCAGGGCACTGGCACAGACCAGAAACCCAGCTCTTCATCTTCTTTGACCTGTGTACCTGCTGAGAAGCCTGGGTCCCAGTGTGGGCTCTATCATCAGTCTCCCTGGGTCTGAGTCTGATGCCATCATTTATTAGCACATGGCCTTAGGAAGGCGGAGCTTAAATTTTATTTTTAAGATTTATTTTTATTTTTTTTTAAGATTTATTTATTTATGCATGCAAGAACTGGGGTACAGGCCAGAGGCGTGAGGGGTGAGAGGATTCACCAGAGACAGAGTGGGGAACAGAATAGGTGGATTGACTGAAATACACTGCTGAGGGGAGCAGCAGCGAGTCAGGAGAGGTCTGCTGCACTGTGTGGGTAGCTCCCTGGCCAGGGATCGAACTCGTGCCGCAGTGGCTGCGGACAGCTTGTGTCATAACAAGCTGTCATAGGTTGTGTCTTAACCCCTCGCACCACCAGGGAGGCCCTATTTTCACTTATTTATGCATAGAAGAACTGGGGTATAGGCCAGAGGTGGGAGTAGGGGTGAGAGGATTCGCCAGAGACAGAGTAAAGAACAGAACAGGTGGAGCAACTGAAATACACTGCTGAGGGGAGCAGTGGGTGAGACAGGAGAGGTCTGCTGCACCATGTGGTTCAGCTTCCTGACCAGGGATCGAACTTGTGCTTCAGTGGTTGCCGATAGTTTGATAGTACCAAGATTTTAACCCCTGTGCCACCAGGGAGGCCCAAGCTGCTTAAGTTTCTAAACCTGTTTTTTTTTTTTTTTAAATATTTATAGTGTTTATAAAGATGTATAACTGAATATGTTTATTTTATTTTTAAAGATTTATTTATTTTATTTATACAAGCACTGGGTATAGTCAGAAGCGTGGGGAGGGTGAGAGAATTCACCAGAGCCAGAGCGGGGAGCAGAACAGGCAGAAGGATCGAAGTACACTGCTGAGGGGAGCAGCAGGCGGCAGGAGAGGTCTGCGCACCATGTGGGACCCTTGCCTGGCGGCCAGGGATCGAACTGGCGCCGCAGAGGCTTCTGGCAGCTTCGCAACCCAGCGCTCAACCGCTGCGCCACCGGGGAGGCCCAGTTTTCTTATTTCTAAAATGAGGGCAATAATGTCATAGTATGATTCCCAGTCTATGAAGTCATGCATGGAAGATGTTGTTTATAAATGGAATATTCAAATGTTAGCCATGATTATTATAATTAGATAATTTGAGACCAATATACTCAGAAAAATGCATAAATGCCTATAGATAAAATTTTGCGTTTTATATGCAATGTCAGGAGGTTTCAGAGACTCCCTGTAACTCTTCCCTGGACTGCACATTAGCAACCTCCGAAAAAGGCCGTTGTGCATTAAGGATGTTTATTACTATGGGCCTTTAGACATCTGTCAAGCACAAGAATCCTGGAAAGATGCCACAGCCCTAGGTTTAGTCCTGGCCCTACCACATACCTGTCTTATGAACTTAGACAAACAACCCAACTATGTGAGTCTTAGTTTCCTCATCTGTAAAATTGGGATTAGAGTTGCCATGCAGATGAAATGAGCTGATGCATGTAAGACTCTTGGCACAGTACCTGGCATATAGTCAGCACTCAGTAAATCCTGGCTATTAGTGATAACTGGGCTTTAAAACAGGGCTGGGCTGGTTTGCAGTCTCCCCTGCTGCTCTCCTCTGGTCTCTGAGGGTGACTGACAGCTGCTCTGTGTGGATAGCCGTGTGCCATTCAGGCCCGGAGGTCAGACCAAGGTCCCAGAGGACTGGGGCAGAGAGTAGAGATGGAAGCTTGTGCAGGATCTGGTAAACTTGCTGCTCTTGGCTGACCAGCCCTTGCAGGCTCTGGAGGTCCTTCTGCTTGTGAGGATCATCTCCCAGAGACTGGAAGACCACGCCAAGGCAGCTGGTTCCTCCTGCCACGTCACTCAGCTCCTCCTGACACTCGGCTGTCCCGGCTATGCTCAGGTGAGTGCCCCCCCAGCCAGCCCTGCGCGCTGCAGAGGGCATCAGGCTTCAGTGATTCATCTTTTCCCTGAGAAGATAAGATGGGTAATGAAGGGGCAGCTTCTCTGCCTTCCATCTCTGGGCTCAGCTGGAACATGGTAGTGGGGAGGCACTGTGGGAAGAGTTGGCTTCTTTCTCCTCATTGCAAAACCAACTGTCATTAAGTCTTCCAGATTCTGCACCAAGAATTTACCACTAATCTTGTTTTCCCAACTGTTTCTGCTGCCCTGGTTGATGCTTCTTCACGTGCACAGAACTATTGTAATGCCTTCTAGCTGGTCTCGGCCTCTGCTTTCTCCCTTTCCCACCGCTCTCCTAACCACTGCTAGCAGGATCGTTTTAGACACAGACCCGATCTTATCTCTCCTGTTTAAAGGATTTCAGTAGCTTCTCCATTACCGGTCTAGACCTTCTACTCTGTGTTGCACACCTCTGCAGTTCTAGGCTGTTCTTCATGCTTTTTTCTTGCTGCTTCTTACCATGAACCTTATGCCAATCCTTAATGATTACTTCGTATTCTTTTTTTTTTTTATGATTTATTTAGGTTTTTTATTTTATTTTTTTCCTAATAATTTTTTTCCTATTTATTTATGCATACAAGAGCTGGGGTACAGGCCAGAGGTGTGGGGGGTGAGAGGATTCACCAGAGACAGAGTAGGGAACAGAACAGGCAGATGAACTGAAATACACTGCTGGGGGGAGCAGCGGGAGAGTTAGGAGAGGTCTGCTGCACCATGTGGGTAGCTCCCTGGCCAGCAGGGGGATCGAACTCGTGCTGCAGAGGCTGCGGACAGTTTCACAGGTTGTGTCTTAACCCCTTGCGCCACCAGGGAGGCCCTGGTTACGTCATATTCTTTGTACATGCCTCTCTCTCTGGTTGTATTAGTCTCTCCATCCTAAAAGCAACTGCCCACCTCTCCCCTTTTCATTCAGCAGGTTTCTACTTTTCAAGGCCTAGGTCAGTGTCCCTTCTGACTCTGGCGTTTTATGCATCTTCTTCAAGGGCAGAACCAACCACTTTCCCTCAGTCCCCATACCACTAATGGCATTGTATCTCAGCCCCTCCCCGCTGCATAGATGGTCCTGTTTTTTACTCCTTATTCCACTTTGTACTAAGTGAATGTTTTAGTGAATGATTGAATGGCTCCTGTGTAGATAATGTTTGAAATAATCTATTTAGTGGAAAGAATCTGGCTGCCCCGTTACCAGCTCATTCACCCCTCCGATTTCTCCCTTAGTTATACCTGGAAGAGGCAGAATCAAGCTTAAAGCTTCTGGATCACACCACGGACACATACCTGCTCCTTTCCCTGACCCGAGATCTCCTTCAAAGCCAACTCTACTGTGCTCACCGGAAGGTATTTGTCACTTTCATAATCCCCAAAGGTTAAAGGTATGTGGGTGTTGGATTTTAGATTCATCCAAAGATAGGGAGAATGTTCCTGGTGCAGTGAGGCAGCACTGTTTCCTAGCCATGCCCTCTGCCGTGAACGGTTCATCAGTGCTCCTCCAGTAGAGATACATCCTTTTTACTCGTTGCCAGTTTCCTCGGGGCCAAGGGGAAATCTACCCTGTGACTAGAAACTGGAATGACACTGGAGCCCTGGACTGGAAATCCAGCGGGAGCCAAAAGGAGCGTCCTCATGAAATAGCCGTGGGACTTAGTTGGGTCTTGTGCCCTCTCTGTAGTTTTCTCTATAGCTTTTATCATTCTTAAAAGCAGGGGGTTGGGCCAGGTGATCTCCAGGGGCATCTTAGCTCTGAGTTGCTCATCTGACTCCACTTCTCTGCTCTCCTTTGGCCCTTCTCCCAGGTGACCGAGGGTGCCTCTCTGTTGCTGTCGGTGCTGCGGGACCCTGCCCTCCAGAGGTCGTCCAAGGCCTGGTACCTGCTGCGTGTCCAGGCGTTGAAGCTGGTAGCAGTCTACCTTAGCCTCTCATCAGACAGTCTCTCCACCTCCCTGGGGGAGCAGCTCTGTGCCCAAGGTGAAAGAATAGGGTGGATGGCCTTCCTGGTCAATGTGTGGTTTGTCTGCTGTCAACTCTTCTCAGCCCTTGTCTCTTCTGCTGTTCAAGTGTGTGGACTAGCCTACTTAAAAGCTGCACAGAATAGCCTGGGGTAGCAAATGAGTTTCATTCTTCTGCTGAGGCCACTGGGTTGCTAGGTTACTGCCTAGGTACTATAAAGGATTCTGAGACCTTATGTGTTCTTTTTTTTTTTTTTTTTTTTTTAATATTTATGTATTTATTTATACAAGCACTGGGTATAGTCAGAAGCGCGGGAGGGTGAGAGAATTCACCAGAGCCAGAGCAGGGAGCAGAACGGGCAGACTGATGAAGTACACTGCTGAGGGGAGCAGCGGGCGGCAGGAGAGGTCTGCACACCATGTGGGACCCTCACCCGGTGGCCAGGGATTGAACCGGAGCTGCAGAGGCTGCAGGCAGCTTTGTAACCCAGCACTCAACCGCTGCGCCACCGGGGAGGCCCACCTTATGTGTTCTTAAAGGGAAAAGAGTTCTGTGATTGATTAGCTCTGTCTGCCTTGGGTGCAGAAAGATAAGAGCAGCAGCAAATTTTGCATTTGCTCTCTTAGTAGTCAGGTAATAGAAGTTCTGGCCACATGACTCCTTATCCCCCCACCTGACAGGCTGGCAGACACCTGAGATAGCGCTCATTGACTCCCATAAACTCCTGCGAAGCATCCTCCTCCTCCTCATGGGCAGTGATGTGCTGTCTGTTCAAAAAGTAGCTGTGGAGACACCGTTTCTGGACTATGGTGAGTCTGAGGAGGAGAGCAGGTCCCTGTGGGATGCACAGGCCAGATGGCATCATCACTATGACTGAGTGATGACAGTCTTGTCTCTTTGCTACAGGTGAAAATCTGGTACAGAAATGGCAGGTTCTTACAGAGGTGCTTAGCTGCTCTGAGAAGCTTGTGTCCCGCCTGGGCTACCTGGGTAGTGTGAGCGAAGCCAAGGCCTTTTGCTTAGAGGCCCTGAAACTTACCACAAAGCTACAGATACCTCAGCAGTAAGTACAGGGCCCAAGAGAATGCCAATTCCAGGACTTGGGTGCCTGTGCCCTTGGCTGTGGGTTCTCAAACTATTCTGCAGATTAACATGTTATGTTTGAAGGGGGGGTGGAAGATTGTAGCCCATGGCTAAATAAGTGAGATGTGAAGAGTTCATCAAGGTTAGCCTTTTATTTTCTATAGGACTTCAGCTGTCCTGCAATATGCTAATAGGCACGAGAAACCTCCAAAAGGGAGATCTAGTATACCGTGTTTCCACATTTATTTGCCCAGAGGGTCCTTTTCCCCAGAATGCAGTTTGGGAAATCCTGTCCCCACGCATAAGGATGAATTGGGATGAGCGTAGAAGGTTCTCCCCAGGCAGCCTGGGAGCGATGGCAACGACTCTGCCTAGAAAGGGGCAAAAAGAGACTCTCCAGGTAAACAAAGGATTTCACGAGTTGGTTCTCATTGCCTCTCCCAACAAGGTGTGCCTTGTTCTTGGTGCTGAAGGGGGAGTTGGAGCTGGCACGCAATGATCTGGACCTCTGTCAGTCGGACCTGAAGCAGGTGCTGTTCTTGCTTGAGTCTTGCACAGGTGAGCCGCCACACCCCCAGGCCATAGGCTGGGCTCAGAGTGACACACCCACATCCATTCATCTTTCTTTGTATGTGGTGCTCTAGCGTCCTTCTACACTAGAGCCCGACTGCTGTCTGGTCCCAGGGCAAAGCTCCAATTATTAACCATAGTGTCCCTTCTTTGCACAGCGTGTTGAGGACTAACCCTGCCTGGTTCTAGTTTTTAGCACCTTGTAATGCAGTTTGGTTATTTAGATTTAAATTTAAGTAAAATTTAAAATTCAGTTCCTAATTCATTCACCACGTTAACATTCTTAATAGCCTCGTGCTAGTGGCTACTGTGTGGGACAGCCCAAAGGGAGTATCCTCACGTTTAAACTAATAATAAAATATACTTATGGAGCAATTTTTTTTTTTTTTAAGATTTATTGATACAAGCACTGGGTACAGTCAGAAGTGCGGGAGGGTGACAGAATTCACCAGAGCCAGAGCGGGGAACAGAACAGGCAGACTGACGAAGTACACTGCTGAGGGGAGCAGCGGGCGCTGCAGGAGAAGTCTGCGTGCCATGTGGGACCCTCGAACTGGCGCTGCAGAGGCTGCGGGCAGCTTCACAGCCCAGCGCTCAACTGCTGTGCCACCAGGGGAAGCCCTTATGGAGCAATTTTTTTAAAGATTTATTTATGGGCCTACTTGGTGGCGCAAGGGGTTAAGACGCAATCTATGAGGCTGTCTGCAGCCACTGAAGCACGAGTTTAATCCCCGGCCAGGGAACTACCCACATGGCGCAGTAGACATCTCCTGACTCGCCCGCTGCTCCCCTCAGCAGTGTATTTCAGTCATTCTGCCTGTTCTGTTCCCCACTCTGTCTCTGGTGAATCCTCTCACCCCCCCCCACACCTCTGGCCTGTGCCCCAGTTCTTGTATGCATAATATAAATAAATCTTTAAAAGAAAATTATTATTTATGCATAGAAGGACTGGGGTACAGGCCAGAACTGAGGGTGGGGGGGCGGTAAGAAGATTCACCAGAGACAGAGTGGGGAGCCAAACAGGCAGAGCTACTGAAATACACTGCTGAGGGGAGCAGCGGGCAATATTGGAGAGGTCTGCTGTACCATATGGGTTAGCTTCCTCACTAGGGATGGAACTCAGGCCATTGCAGTGGGCCTTTGTGGTGGTAGCGCTGAGATTTTAACCCCTAGGCCACCAGGAAAGCCCGTTATGGAGAATTTTTTAATCAACCACTTTTACCTCTTTTATTTATTTTTTTTTTTTTTAATTTTCTAGAGGCATGTCTTATTTATCTATTTGTTTGTTTGTTTGTTTGGTTTATACATGCACTGGGTACAGTCAGAAGCCGGGAGGGCGAGAGAATTCACCAGAGCCAGAGCAGGGAGCAGAGCAGGCAGAAGGACCGAAGTACACTGCTGAGGGGAGCAGCGGGCGGCAGGAGAGGTCTGCGCGCCATGTGGGACCCTCCTCCGGTGGCCGGGGAGCAGCCAGGGATCGAACCGGCGCCGCAGAGGCCGCGGGCAGCTTCGCAACCCAGCGCTCAACCGCTGCGCCACCTGGGAGGCCCCTACCTCTTTTATTTCTTTTGTGAAATGAGAAAGCTGAGAAATTGGATGTTTTGAGCAGGATTACAGGACTGGTGTGGGGAGGAGCCAGATCAAGACTCTGGCCTCCTGGTGCTGGCCGGAGCCATGCCGCCTTCCGAGCTGCAGCTGTGGGGGCTGCATTGATCTGCTGTTTGATGGGAAAAGAAATCATTAGAGATAATATTTTCTTTTATTATGTCACAAATAATGAACTATACTAATACTTGATATTAGTACAGTAACACATGAGTAATTAAAAAGTGGATTCATATATTAGAGAGCAGTGCCAGGGGTAGCTCAGGAAGTAGTTGGTATTATTTTTCATTTTGTTTTTTGTTTGGTTTTTTTTTTAAGATTTATTTATCCATGCATCCAAGTGCTGGCCAGAGATGTGGGGGGTGAGAGGATTCACCAGAATGGGGAAACAGAACAGGCAGACTGAAATACACTGCTGAGGGGAGCAGTGGGTGAGTCAGGAGAGGTCTGCCTCACCATGTCAGTTTCTCTCTGGCCAGCCGGAGATCAAACTTGTGCTGTAGAGGCTGTGGATTGCTTCACAGTATGGTGCTTAACCCCTTGTGCCATCAAGGAGGCCCTATTTTTCCAGTTTTATAATGCTTTTCCATTCTCCCTTCAGAGTTTGGTGGCCTAGCCCAGCACCCAGACTCCGTGAAGAAGGTTCACCTGAAGAAGGGAAAACAGCAGGCTCCGGTTCGCCATCCTCCAGAGCTTCCAGAAGAGGAGGTATTCCTAAAAGGTCCTGCTTTGGAGCTGGTGGCCACTGTGGCGAAGGAGCCTGGCCCCACTGCACCCTCTACTAACTCTTCTCCAATCCTGAAAACAAAGTCCCAGCCCAGCCCTGGCTTCCTGAGCCACTCGCCCACCTGTGACTGCTCACTCTGTGGCAGCCCTGTCCTCTCCGCCATCTGTCTGCGCTGGGCGTTGGTCACAGCAGGGTTACAACTAGCCATGGGCCATGAGTCCCAGGGTCTGGATCTGCTGCATGTTGTGCTGAAGGGTTGTCCTGCGGCCGCCCAACGCCTCACCCTAGCTCTCCAAGCCTCCCTGAATCACAAAGCACCCTCCTCCCCTGTCCCAAGCCTCTTTGATGAGATCTTGGCTCAGGCATACACACAGCTGGCACAGGAAGGGCTGAGCCGGCCATCAGACAAGAGCCTGGGGAAGGCCCTGGAGTCAGGGCTGAAGTTTGTGGCAGCACGGATACCCCACCTGGAGCCCTGGCGAACCAGCCTGCTCTTGATTCAGGCCCTTGCAAAACTGACTGGCCTCAGCTGCTGCATGACCCAACTCTTTGGAAACTCCTGGGGCTGGCAGCCACCATCGCTAAAGACGCTCGCAGGCTCGGAGCCCTCTAAACCTCGGAGCCAGAAGCATTCGGGACGAGGGCGCCAGCAGGTGGGGCCTGTCTGTAATACCTCTCTGAAAGGCCTGGAAAGTGGAGGAACACCCTGTACACCTAAGCCTCAGGGTAGGGCCAGGCAGGCTGGCCCCCGAGTCCCTTTCACTGTGTTTGAGGAACTCCCTGCAAAGAGCAAGCCTGAGGTTCCCAAGGCCCCCAGGGTCCAACAGAGGGTCCAGACGCGCCTCAAGGTGAGATGGGATGCTGGCGGGTGCAGGTGTCTCTATGAAATAGCTTCCCAGCTATTGGGACCGTTGGTGCTTCTCTGCAGGATCCCCACATCTTCCACAGCAAGGTCCAAGTCTGACCTTTGTTTCAGATAAAAGGCGCTTTCCTTAACTCTTGGTTCCTTTCATTTTATCCTTCTTACCTTCTGGTCCCTTCTCCTTCCTTCCACACCCAAGAGTTCCTGCCTCCAATAGCATGCTAGGTGACTGTGGGCGCTAATCAAATCTTCCGAAGGGCCCCTGTCATGGCGCCTCCATAGCGCCACCTGCCGTCAGGCCAGATCTTGTTACTGAAGGCCCGTTGGTCCTTCGCCCTTTCCCAGGTGAGCTTCAGTGATGACAGTGACTTGGAAGACCCTGTCTCAGGTGAGGTACAGCTTGCAGAGGGACCAAAGAGACGGGGCACGGCTGCCCGAGGTCGGGGCCGCGGCCAGGCTAGGAAGGACCCCAGCTTAAAGACTGACCGTGCAGCTGCCCCAGAGATTGCCCCCGGGAATCCTGGCCCTGGCGGCAGAGGCCGAAGGGCCAAGAAGGTGCCATCAGGACATCGTGAGATGCTGGAGATAATGAGGAGCATCCCTGAGGAGGAGCTGACTGACAACCAGATGGAAATGAGCTTTGAGATCCTCAGGGGCTCTGATGGGGAAGACTCAGCCACAGGTACGATACAAGGATGGGAAGGCAGACGATACATATCTTCTCTGGGGGTTGCTGTGGGGCCAGACTGCAAGAAATAACTGGTGCCAAAGATAGTATGAAAAGTTCTTTTGCTCTCCCTGGGACTGGAGGGAATGGCAGGAGGAGAGAATGCCACAGAAAAGTCGTCTTCTCTCCCTAGGTGGGAAGGTACCAGTATCAGGCCCCAACACAAGCCTAGGAGAATGTGAGGTGTTGAGACGGGATTCTGGAAAAGAGGAGCTGCCCATCCTGTGCCCAGAAAAGGAGAGAAACAAGGATATTCGTGCTCAGCTCAGACTCCCCACGACCCCTGTAGCCATTGGTGAATATGCTAACTGACCACCGAGACCTGGCCACTTGAGGGCTGAGGCTGTGGGGCCTGGGTCCCCATGCCTTTCCAGTCTTCCAGGGTTCTGACTTTGCATCCCATCTGGATCTGGTAGCATCTGAATCCCAGTACTCTCAGCCTCTGGGCTTCTATTACTTAACTGTAAAATGGGGCTCGGGGAGGATGAAGCAGTTTCATGCCTCTAAGTTGTGCAACTCCCCAAGTGGCACATCGCCCTCCCTAAATGGTACCTGCTATTTCCTGAGTAGGAGATGAGGTAGACCTCCTGCTTGGAGCATGATGCCTGCCAGAAAGTAGGGGATTCATCTATCAATCTTTTGAGCGTGTTGACCTTCCTCTAGATCTCTCTACCCTGGATGCCATCTGCGACTCGCTGAGTGTTGCCTTCCGTGGAGTCAGCCACTGCCCTCCAAGTGGGCCCTATGCCAACCTCTGCCGCTTCCTGGCCTTGTGCCTGGGCCACCGGGACCCCTATGCCACTGCATGCCTTGTCATCGATTCTGTCTCCATCACCTGCCGCCACCAGCTACTCACTCACCTCCACAGGCAGCTTAGGTTAGTGCCCTCCACCTGTGAGACTCAAAATGGGGTCAACTGAAGAGGGTCTAGGCCTCCAAGGAAGGAGAACTCACCCGCTTGTGTTGCCCGCAGCAAGGCCCAGAAGCAGCGTGGAGCACTTGAAGTGGCAGACCAGCTGCAGGGACTGAGCCTCCAGGAGAGGCCTGGAGACGTCCCCCTGGCCCGCCTCCAGCGCCTCTTCACCTTCAGGACTGCGGGGTCTGGCCCCTTCCCCCGGCCCGAGAAGGAGCGCTTCCAGGAGCACCTGGCCCTGCTTCCCAGGGGTATGGCGGCAGGCGGCGGGCTTGCCTGTGCCCTGACGTGCCTTTTTACTGAGGAGTTGGGGAAGTGGGCTAAGGGATTAGTTAGTTCATGTAGATTTTTGGTCTTTGTGGAAGGACACGTCAAACCCTTCTTTAGTCATTTTGCTTCTCACTGAACAAGCCTAGCCTAAATCTGGAAGCCTTTTTTCCCCCCTAACCTCAACTTTGAGTTTTCAACAAATTCAGTATCTGTCTTTAAGGGTGCCTGAGGCCTTCTGCACTAGTGTTACACTTGTTAATGGATGACTTCAGTGCCCAGTCTGGGCAGGGCCTCTTGTTAACTTCTCTGAGGGACACAAAGTATAAGATCTGGTCTCTGCCTACCGGAAGCTGTTAGAGCACAGGAGAGCACCTTGAACTCGGGGGGCCAGGGAAGACTCCCTGGACTTGTCTTGAGTGATAAATAGGGACGAAGTGCAGGAGTCAGGGAACGGAAATCCTCGTCACAGCTGAAATGACCTTGGGTATGTCCTGTGTGTCAGGGGTGACTGTGTGTGTGTTGGCCCTGGCCACTCTCCAGCCTGGAACTGTGGGTGACACCCTCCTACTGACACGACTGGAAAAAGACCATCCCCCGGTCACTGTGCAGATCCCCACCGCCCAGAACAAGGTAGGTGTCCTAGGGTAGGCTTCGGGTCAAACACACATTTTGGGGCAGGTGGGGGCGGATGGAGAGGTGGGGTCACATGGAGAAGCCGAAATCTCATTACCTCACCTCTAAAGTTTCCTCTGAGTTCGGTCCTAAAAGAGTTCGACGCCATCCAGAAGGATCAGAAAGAGAACAGCAGCTGCACAGACAAGCGGGAGTGGTGGATGGGGCGCCTGGAGCTGGACCACAGGATGGAGGTGTGTGCTGCCAGGGTGTGGTGTGGCCAGAGGTGCTGGGTCTTCTCAACTACCTCAAATCCGTTCCGGACGTGAAGGCCTAAATAAAAAATGGGATCACTTGGGAGTGTCTTTAAGCAAGACATTAAACCCCCAAGCTTTGACGGTGTTGTGGCAATGAAACGCTTCAAGATACGTACAAGAAAACAGATTTCAGCCCAAGTATCAGCTGCATAGCTTTAACTTGCATTGCCCACCTGTTCCTAGTTATCAAAATAGTGACATGTAACAACAAATCATCTGACCCATCCTCCCCCAGAGTCTCAGCAAATGCAAACTGTTTCAAACTTCTTGCCTCTTATGATTGGCGGAACAAGTGTAAGACAAATACACATAGAACACCCCTTTCGTCTTCTCCAAAATGTTGGTTCCTCTGGGAAAGAGTCAGCTCCTCCCTGACTGACGGTTGTTTCTGCACACTCAGGTTCTCATCACTTCCTTGGAGAAGCATGTGCTGGGCTGCTGGAGGGGCTTGTTACTGCCATCCAGTGAGGACCCTGGTCCTGCCCAAGAGTCTTCCCGCCTACAAGAGTTGCTGCAGGAATGTGGCTGGAAATACCCTGACTCCACTCTGCTGAAAGTAAGTTGAAAAATTAGGGAAGGGTGAAGCAGCTACACTTCATTCTTTCCCACTTGCCCTTGGGAGCAGGGATGGGGGAGCTGTGTCCTCACTGGCCACTGTTCCCTGCAGATCATGCTCAGTGGGGCTGGAACCCTCACCCCTGAGGAGGTCCAGGTCCTAGCCTATGGGCTGTGCCCAGCCCAGCCGGAACGAGCCCAGGAACTTCTGAGTGAGGCATTGGGGCGTCTACGGGGTCAGACAACACCAAGCAATAAGCACCTGGTCTTAGTACTGGACAAGGTACAGAGCTAGGGGTTGGCATTGCAGTGTCTGGTGGGCGTTGGGCACCTACTCGCCCCCACTCCCTTCTGATCCTGTGTGTAACTGTTGGGGACAGTAACCTCAGAGTTCTTTTTGCCCAGGACCTGCAGAAACTGCCATGGGAGAGCATGCCCAGCCTCCGGACATTGCCTGTCACTCGGCTACCCTCCTTCCACTTCCTACTCAGCTACTCCATCATCAAAGAGGTGGGGCTTAGGATGTGCGGACTGGGGGTGACTGATAGTTTGGGGAAAACAGGAAAAAATGAAAAAAGCAATCTAGGAAGACGGAGGTCTCAGGAATGGATCAGTCACAGAGAAGAGGTTGGAGTTTGTCAAAACTTGGCCCTGTGGCCAGACCAAGATATCTTGATCCTGTGTCTCCTCAGGCTGGGGCCTCATCGGTGCTGAGCCATGGGGTGGATCCGCGCAATACCTTCTATGTCCTGAACCCTCACAAAAACCTATCAAGCACAGAAGAGCAATTTCGAGCCAATTTCAGCAGGTCAGTGGCGGGGAAGAAAAAGGGAGTGAGTGGGAAGGGCAGAGGCAACATATAAGGGTAAAGGGCTCTTCTCCAGGATCAAATGTTGCAGTCCACCTCCCGAGAGCCCCCTGCCCTGTTTGCCACATCACCCCCATTCTTAACTCCTACTTTTCCCCTGCAGTGAAGTTGGCTGGAAAGGCGTGGTCGGGGAGGTGCCGAGGCCGGAGCAGGTGCAGGTGGCCCTGACAGAGCATGACTTATATATGTGAGTCTTAGAGCAGGGAGGTGGGGAGGGCTGAATCCCAGAGGAGCCCCTGACTGATTCAGGATACCCCTGGAGACATAGCAAAGGCCTGATACTGCTGGTGCAGGCTCATCTCCTTCTGCCTTAGCTATGCAGGCCATGGTGCCGGTGCCCGCTTCCTAGATGGGCAGGCTGTGTTGCGGCTGAGCTGCCGGGCAGTCGCCCTGCTCTTTGGTTGCAGCAGTGCAGCCCTGGCTGTGCATGGAAACCTGGAGGGGGCTGGCATCGTGCTCAAGTATATCATGGCCGGCTGGTGAGTCTCAGGGCAATGCCCATCCTAAGTTCCCCACCCCAGTTTCTTTCCCCAGTGTAAACTCCTAAATCTTCCCTCCTTTGTGCCCCCTCCGCCCCCCCGCCCGCCCCCCCCAGTAATAGTTCCCGCACGTGCCTTGGCCTTTTCCCTCTCCTAACCTAGAACTATGGGCCATGGGACTTCCTCACGGCTCAATTCTCTACTCATCCACCACCAACACCAATTGTGTTTGCCCGTAGAGTCTGTTATAGAGCTCTTATTTTGTATTTCTTCCTTCTCTTTTCCCAGTCCCCTGTTTCTGGGTAACCTCTGGGATGTGACAGACCGTGACATTGACCGCTACACAGAGGCTCTGCTGCAGGGCTGGCTCGGTGCAGGCCCAGGAGCCCCCCTTCTCTACCATGTCAACCAGGCCCGGCAGGCTCCCCGACTCAAGTATCTTATTGGGGCTGCACCTGTAGCCTATGGCTTGCCTGTCTGCTTGCGGTGACCCCTTGAAATTGTCCTATAACCCACAGAAGTCATTTGACTGTTCTACCTCCAAATGTTATTTAACCCTTAGGATAAATGCTTTAAGCAATTTTCCTCAGTGTTTTTTATGAAACATTTCCTTTTGATTTTATCTTAATATAATAAAGATTTATCATTTGAACCCTGTTTTGTGTAATTCATCTGGGAATATTTGAAGACAAGATTATTGCTCCCCTCCCACCACGTTTAACAATCTAAACAGATGAGAACAACTTGCGGCTGTTAAAGCCTGAGAAACCTTGGGAAGAAGGGCAAAGCCAAGGATAAAGCTGAGCCTGGCAGGGCCTCAGCTGACAAGATGAAGAAGAGGGCATTCAAATGCTCCAAGTGGGGACAGAGGCTCTTCCCAGTGAGGATGTGTGGATCGGGTACCATCAGGTCTGTCTTCCAGAGCCCCCGCAGCTACCCTGGGACTGACACCTAGCGGCAGAGCCACAGCTGCCCTGCCCCTCTCCTAAGTGGACATTAATGACCGATCTCTCCCTACAGACAACTGCTAAACTTGTCAGCGCCCTGCGTTTTAGCAGCCAATTCCATGGCGTTCCGCTGCTCACGAAGACTGTTCTCTCCCCAACTGATCTGTTAAGCTCCCAGGAAGCATGTAACTAAAACTCTCCTGTATTCCTCACATCTAATGTGGTTAAAACAGTGTATTGACCAGGGCCTCCCGGGTGGTGCAAGACGTTAAGATGCAACCTATGAAGCTGTCGGCAGACGCTGCAGCAAGAGTTCGAGCCCCGGCTAGGGAGTAACCCACATGGCACGGCGGACCTCTCCTGTCTCGCCCGCTGCTCACGTCAGCAGTGGATTTCAGTCAGTCTGCCTGTTCTGCTCCCCACTCTGTCTCTGGTGAATCCTCTCACCCCACCCCGCCACCCACACCTCTGGCCTGTACCCCATTTCTTGTATGCATGAATAGATAAATCTTTTGAAATACAAAACAAGACAGGGTATTGATCAATAAAGCTTAAGTTCCTGAGGGCAGGCGTCTTGTCTGCTACAACTTCACTACTGGGGGCTTGCGATGTTTTGTGAAAAGGCGCCCCTGCCCCTCAACATTTGAGGCCTGTGCAAGAGCTTCCGGCCTCTCCGTCCCTACTGGGCCGGAGGGTCATAGAAACGTCCGGCGCAGCGAGGCCGCCTGGCGCAGCCATAGAGATGTGCAGAGGGCGGCTAGAGCGTCACTTCCGCGTCGGTAGTCCTCCTTCCCAACATGGCGCAGTCAGTTAACATCACCGAGCTGAATCTGCCGCAGCTAGAAATGCTCAAGAACCAGCTGGACCAGGTGGGGACGGGCCCCAGAGACATCCTTTTCCTGCCACACATCTCCGCATCTCATGCCCGCGGGTACTCTCTCGCCCCGCATTCCTCCCCACTTTGGGAGGCTTCCCTTTCCAGGAGAAACACTTCACCCCAGGGCCCGCCCCCTCTTCGGTAGTGCTCGCCCCTAGTCCTCCGCCCCCTCCAGCCCCGGTGTTGACCCTGTTTCCGTCCCCTGTAGGAAGTGGAGTTCTTATCCACGTCCATTGCCCAGCTCAAGGTGGTCCAGACCAAGTATGTGGAAGCCAAGGACTGTCTGAACGTGCTGAACAAGACCAACGAGGGTATGGGGTGGACGCGTCGAGGCCATCGGGGGGCTGTGCCGCCTGGCTTCTCCTCTCGTCCTGTCTCTCCAATTTCCGTACTAGAGGGGAGAAGACTGTCCATACCTATTGTATGCCGCTTCTTGAGCCCTTTGCATGTTGCCTATCTAGAATTGAAAAGTACAGGACATTCCTCCGCTCCTGTCCCCCCTGTTTCGGTTCTTTTCATACTGTCTCCGGGCTCTGTGCCCTATTGGAACACCCGTTAACACCTTCATTTTGGAGCTGCCAGCCTTCCTCCAGATGTTTGTCTTAATTGCTTTCACAGGGAAAGAATTACTCGTCCCTTTGACAAGTTCTGTATCCTTTCCACAGGAACTGCCTTTTCTTCCTCATGCCCCCCCCCAAAAAAAAATAAAGAGGGGACAAGAGTAGTTTTGATAACCCCAGCGTGCCTCTATGGAAGAATCTTATTATACATAGATTTTCTGTCTTAATCTGGAGCCAATCTCCAGCTAATGTCTTGTGAGTACCAGGGAGTATGTAGAATTGAGGTATGATTGTTTTCCTTTGCTATTTGAGGATATTGATATAGAGATAAAACTAGTGGTTTACATTATTACTAATAACAGAAGGGGGGTGGCTCTATTAATCCTCAACTTTAATTTAACTGTAACACTTTCTCCTAAACTGTTGTTTTGCCTTTATAACAGTGGCTCTCTTTATAACAGTGGAGTGTCTACCTACTGAGTGTTTTACTTAATGAGCCAGTTATGACAATAAGACAACTGTGTAACCTGGGAACTGGCAGGCTAAAAGGGAAACACAGGAATGGCAGTGTAGGGATTACTTAAATAATGGATATTAAATTCATCAGGAATTAGCTAGTTCATGCTTGAGGGTGTTGAGGGAAAGCAAGACTGATTCTGATTTTTTGCTTTTATTACTCAACAGCAGTAGGAAAGTATCTTTGTATCTAGTCTTTCTAAAGAGGGGCTAATGGGAAGAATGATAAGAACTGTTTGGAAGATGGCAGGTGGGCTAAGAGTAGGAGAATGTTTAAACAGATGTTAGTTTCTCCATAAGGAACCAACTTCTCTATCACACCACCTTCGAAGATTATTGGTGTAGTTTTCGGGGCCCCAGATTATTCAGTCCGTTTCTTTTTAGAAAAGGAATGTCCTAGGATGCCAAGCAGGCTGGCTGACAGGGAGTCATGGCTCATGCTGGGCTAGTTTTTTCCTTAATCCTTGATTCTCAGATGTATGTTCCTGGGAAGCTACATGATGTGGAACATGTACTCATCGATGTGGGAACTGGCTACTATGTAGAGAAGGTGAGTGGGGGGAACACAGGGATGTCTCCCTGAGCAGGAAAAGGGAGCTGAAGGGAACATCTACAGTGCAACATGGGGTCTCTTAGCCCTTCATTCACCTCTTGCAGACAGCTGAGGATGCCAAGGAGTTCTTCAAGAGGAAGATAGACTTCCTCACCAAGCAAATGGAGAAAATCCAGCCAGCTTTACAGGAGAAGCATGCCATGAAACAGGGTAAGCTTGGCCTGAGGTATCTCCTGAGCCCTTCTACCTCTATGTTAAACAACATGGAATGCAGAGTGAACAATGGCAGTATTCCCTTAATTGAATTAAAATTCCTTTCCTTCCCTTCTAATGCAAAGCAAGCTTCTTCCTTTATGAAACTCCGTGAAGCCACTTTACATAAGTTCAACAATGATTGCTTACTGTGCTGATCTAGTGGCCAACACTAAGTTTTTATCTTAACTAGAAGTAGAGTCCCATTGATGGCAAAGATCATCACTGCTGGGAGTGACAGTATCCGCTTAGTTGGATTAAGGCTATGTTCTGATGTATAATTCTCTAGGCTGTGCATTGTATTCCCACTATTTGTAGATTCCTGGGTTGGGGGCTTGAGGAATTTAGAAGAAATGTCTCTCTTGTGCAATTTCCATTTAATGGGGATGGGATGGGAAGAAAATACATGAAAATGAACTAGTACTAGCAGTGGCAACTGTGGCTGCACACTGGGATCACCCAGGTAGTTTACAGACAGCCTGGGCGGCACCATGAGAACTAAACCAACCAGGGAGGTGGCTGAATTCCAGGGTGGTCAGTGTTTTTAAAAAAGTTCCCAGCTGATTCTGTTCCATATTCAGGATAGAGAGCCACTGTTATAAAGGCAAAACTCTTTTCCACATTATAATTTTCTAGTGTTATCTGACTCATTTAATACCATATTCATTTTTATATCCTGTGGTTATATTGACATAGACTCTAAATTTGTATTCGTTTTTGTCCCTCAGAGAAGATTCCTGTGTTAAAAGTTTAACAAACTATAGTTGGTTGTCTGCCCTGTCACTTTTCTGTAACTCTACATTCTCCTCCTTAGTCCTGACCAGGGCCTAATTCTTTTATTCCCACAGCTGTCATGGAGATGATGAGCCAGAAGATTCAGCAGCTCACAGCGTTGGGGGCAAATCAAGCTACTGCTAAGGCCTGAAACTTGTTTTCAGAAATGGGGCCTGGGACTTTTGGGAGTGAATTCCTAGAGTTGGGGAAGAAATGGTGCTTATGTTTCATGCTAATAAATGTGTCAGCTGGGCAGAATGTGGTCTTTTCTTGCATTTAGCAAGGGACTCTGCTGGGACGGGTGGGGCTGGGTCGAGATGGCGCGCCGCTCCCCGGATCCTGGCCTGCAGAGCTGATGCTGTGCTCACACCGAGGGTTTCACCCGCGGGATCCTTCTACCAACCGCGCTGGGCGGCGTGCTCTTGGGCGGGGCCTGTTGCCCAGGGAACGGCCGCGCGGCGGAAGTGGGGCTGCGTAGGCGCTTCTTCTTCCGGGTCGTGCCCCGGCCTTCGGGAAGAAGCCGCATGGGTCAGCGCCTCCTGCGCGGCTTCCTTCCGCTGCTGCTGCCGCCGCCGCCCCCCCAGCCCGGGCACCGCATGCACAGCACGGGGTCCGTCCTGCCCCCCAAGCGGCCCCGCAGCGACCTTATGGCCCCGCGCCGAATAGGCACGCACAGCGGCACCTTCCACTGCGATGAGGCGCTGGCGTGCGCCCTGCTGCGCCTCCTGCCCGAGTTCCGGGTGCGGAAACTGCCCCGAGGTCGGCCTGTGTCTCCGGGGTGGGCCGCGGCCGCCTCACTGGGCCCCTCCAGCGGTTGCGGTGGCCCAAGCACCCTCCTGCCCGCCGGCTCCCCTGGAAACCCAACAACACCACCCCTCCCCGCCACACGCGCACACCTTCTCTGGCAGCCCCCTTAAACCTGTGTCCACCGCAGGATGCAGAGATTGTGCGGACGCGGGACCCCGAAAAACTGGCGGCTTGTGACATCGTGGTAGATGTGGGTGGCGAGTATGATCCTCAGAGACACCGATATGATCATCACCAGAGGTGAGTTCAGGTAGCATTTCTTCAACTTTCTTGACTTAGCGTTCCTCAGGGCCCCCGTTCAGCCAGCCACTGACGTCATCGTCAGCAAAAGGAACGGCCTCATCCTTGAAATCAAAATCTTGAGTCCCTTTAAAACTATAGGCTTCTGGGCCTCCCTGGAGGAGCAAGGGGTTAAGACGCAACCTATGAAGCTGTCCGCAGCCTCGGCAGCACGAGTTCATTCCTTAACCAGGGAGATACCCACATGGCACAGCAGACCTCGCCTGTCTCGCCTGCTGCTCCCCTCGGCAGTGTGTTTCAGTCAGTCTGCCAGTTCTGCTCCCCGCTCTGTCTCTGGTGAATCCTCTCGCCTCCCACGCATCTCTGGCCTGCACCCCAACCTTTGTATGCATAAATAAATAAATCTAAAAACCAAAAACTGTAGGCTTCCATCCTTCCTTCCCAGCATCCATCTACCTGACCTTGGACCTCCCTTTGCCCTGGCATCTGCCCAGGCCTCTCATGGTTGCCAGTCCTCACACCCCTCCTAACTCACTCCTGCTTTGGCTCAGTCAGGCATTTCTCCCACCAGCACTGTCATTAGTCATCCCGACTCATACCCCAACTGGAATTAATCCATTCACGTGCCTTTAGATTGCTGGCGGGTTGGTCACTGCCCAGATGTGTGTGGTCTCCTACTTCATTCACTCTTCCATTGGGAGATCTTTCTTTTACCAGCGTGTCCCCTCACCCACAATACTATCCCATTCTTTTCCCCCTCTCCTCAAGCCCCTACTTCATCAAACCCCTCTGCAAATAACCTTGTTGCTGACTTTCTTTTTTTGTTTGTTTGTTTAAAGATTTATTTATTTATTTATACAAGCACTGGGTACAGTCAAGGCAGGAGGGTGAGAGAATTCACCAGAGCCAGAGCGGGGAGCAGAGCAGGCAGAGGGACCGAAGTACACTGCTGAGGGGAGCAGCGGGCGGCAGGAGAGGTCTGCACGCCATGTGGGACCCTCCTCTGGTGGCCTGGGAGCAGCCGGGGATCAAACCAGCACTGCAGAGGCTGCGGGCAGCTTCGCAACCCAGCGCTCAACCGCTGCGCCACCGGGGAGGCCCCCTTGCTGCTGACTTTCAAAGGAAATTTCCCACATCCTCAACTCCTTCCTTCCAATCTGTCAGTTTCTCTCTGGGATTTCACATCACAATTCTCCTGCCAGTGTTTCTACTTAGGAGTGTATAAAATACGAAACCTCCCCTCACTTCACTACTGTTTAAAGGGTCACAATGACGTTCTGTTTTAGGTGTCTTTTAAGTATTTCTCCCTCTCTCCATCTTCTGACTTTCTCTTTTTGCTTAAGTATACATTTTATTTTCTTTTTTTAAGGATTTATTTTTATTTATTTATGCATATAAGAGCTGGGGTACAGGCCAGAGGTAAAGGGGGTGAGAGGATTCACCAGAGACAGAGTGGGAAGCAGAACAGGCAAATCTACTGAAATCCACTGCTGAGGGGAGCAGACAGGAGAGGTCTGCTGAGCCATGTCAGTCAGCTCCCTAGCCAGGGATCGAACTTGGGCCACAACAGTGATAGCTTGATAGGACCACCAGCAAGACCCCCTACATATTATTTTCATAAATGGTGTCAAGATTCCTCTCCCCCACCCTCTCCCGGAAATAAGCCACAGTCTGAAGTTTATGTTCATCATATCCTTGTTCTTGTATATAGTATAGTCTGTACCTGTTTCCATCAATAATTCATTTAGTTTTGCTGCCTTTTGAACCTTTTCTTGGGAGTGGAGGTTGTTATTATTAGTCTTTATACCCTGTGAATATTTTGCATATTTTTTGTTCAGTAATAAGTCATCAAAACAAAAATGACTCCCTAGGAGATTCTGATGGACTGGTTTTCAAAGTGACAGCTGTAGTTTTTTCTTTACCTATCCTGTCATACCTTTTCCTAGTCTCTGTGCCACTGTGTTCAAATTCCTCCTCTCCTCATCCTGCCTCTGATTCATTTCCTTGCATCTGTGCTGGCTAGCACGATGCTCTTTCTAGTATGCACTTGTCTACTTAATTCTCTGTGGCTCCCCATTACCTACAGGGAAATCCCAAACTCCCAAGTATTATATGGCCTGCCTACCCTTCTAGCTTTATCTTCTACCTCACTCATCACACCTTTCCTGGAGTCCCGTGAAGAGGCCCATCTCTTAGCCGTTGAACGTGTTGTTCCCTCCACCCGGAGTGCCTTTTGTCCTTCAGCCTTTAGTGAAAAACCACTCGTTCATCTCAGGAGTGACTGAAGGCTGTCTTCCTCTGAAGCCTTTCTTTTTCCCTTCCCATTTTTCCTTCTTTCCTTGTTATAACTAGAGCATTTGCCTTGTTGTTTTGTGTTTGTCTGCCTCCAGCAGATGAACTGGAAGCCAGGGACAGAATCTCGTGGTTTTTTTAGTTTTTTGTTTGTTTTTTTTATCCCTGATGTCTAAAGCACAAAGCCTGGTATGTAATAAGCACTAAGTAACCACCATTAATGGAGACTCTAAGCAAAGGCCCATGTTATGGACCTCCTGTAACATCCCAGCTTCCTCACTGCCCTGGCCTGCGGGTTAATGGGGCTGAGTCCTCCGCCTCAGCTCCGCCTCCCTGTGCTCCTTAGGTCTTTCACAGAGACCATGAGCTCCCTGTACCCCGGGAAGCCGTGGCAGACCAAGCTGAGCAGTGCGGGACTCATCTATCTGCACTTCGGGCACAAGCTGCTGGCCCAGTTGCTGGGCACTAGTGAAGAGGACAGCATAGTGGGCACCCTCTATGACAAGGTGGGGACCCACACGTGCATCTCCACCAGGCCAGCCAGTGTGGGACTCTTGCAGCACCCGGACTGGCTTCCTGACCCGTAGCCGGCCCCCGCCCTCCCTGCCAGGCTCATCGCCCAGCATGAGAATGTCTCTTTCTCTCCTGGGGTGGACACGAGAACAAGATGTACTACTTGGGGAAGGGCTTTGAAAACCTTATAAAGTGGTGTTTCCCAGTCTTTTTCTTGGCCAGACACATCAAAAATGATGAGTCAACAGCTTGGTAATCATGACTGGTTAGAATCATGACTCCCTGGGGCACACAAGGTGGGGGGGGTGGGGCAGGGCCAGGAAGCACTTGATTGTGAAAGTATCTTCAGGTTCCACCAGCACCCCCTGTGAGCAGCTCAGTAGCTTCCCACTGTTAGGGAAGCAATAGGGCTGGTGGCCCCGGTGTGCATGGCCCCAGTGATTCTAAGGCGCCCTTCTTGGCCCTACTCTTGGAGGGTCATGAGTCAAAACTCAGATCCAGTTGTTATTTTGGGGGTGTAAACTGTTGAGTTCAGTTCTCTGCCTGTGTTTGGCTCCCCATCACACAAAGCTGGTATGATCCTAAAAGGGAGAGCAACATAGCTGAATTGAAATTTTTGGAACAGCAAGGTTTTCAACTGCTTTCTACAGCTGAGGGGTTCCTAACCAACTGACTGAATGAAACCCAAGTTCTAACTGGGCATCAGGATAGAGTCCGGACGTTGGGCTGGGGGGTCTCTCTGGGCCTGAGAGTAGCACTTGGGCTGCACTTTAGCGATATGTTGGTGTGTGGGCTAGCTTGTCAGGCAGTATTGCATTAAGCACTGGTAACCCACATTGTTTTTGCCCCAAACTCTTGAGGTCTTGTCCTACTGTATCCTGAGTGTCAGGAGGTGCAGCAGCTGTTGCAGAGGCACATCATGGGCTTCTCCGGGATCACATCCCAGTACCACCCCACCCCGCACCCCCCCTTTGTATTGGCCAGACCCTCCTGTACCTTGGTAACTAGCCCACTGAATAGCCAGCCTGGCCCAACTGGAGGTGGACACTCCCTCAGCCATGGAGAACCAGTTCCAGCCCTTCATGAAACTTGAGGCCTTCCTTGATCCGAAGCCAGCATTCCCCGCTCCATACACGGGCCTAGGTGGGGCTTTGTGCAGCCGTAGAGCAAGCACCGGACTAGGAATCAGTTCATTCAAATCCCAGCCCCAGCACTATTGGCTCTCTGACCTTGAGCCACAGAACCTGGCCATCCCTTTTCCTCATCTAGTTAATGTTGAGAGAGCCTCACAGAACTATTGTGGAGATTAAATGAAAGTGTGATAAACATACTTTAAAACCTTTAACACTTGATGTAAATGGAGGGCCCTCAAGAGCATTTCCCGTGCTGCTGCCTTAGATGTACGAGAACTTCGTGGAGGAAGTGGATGCAGTGGACAATGGGATCTCCCAGTGGGAAGTGGGCGAGCCTCGCTATGCACTGACCACCACCCTGAGTGCCCGGGTTGCTCGGCTTAATCCCACCTGGAATCAGCCCAACCAAGATACTGAGGTAAGGAGGACTCCGGGCCAGGCGGCTGGCGCGTAGAACCTCCAGAGAGGAAGGGGGCAGTTGTGTCCTGCCCCACACCCCCAGCCAACCAGCACCATGGTTCTGATTCCCAGGCCAAGTTCAAGTGTGCGATGGATCTGGTTCAGGAGGAGTTTCTGCAGAGAATCGAATTCTACCAACACAGCTGGCTGCCAGCGCGGGCCTTGGTGGAAGAGGCCCTGGCCCAGCGATTCCAGGTGCAGGCCTAGAATGAGGTACTGCTGCTGCTGGTCACTGGGTTCCTCCTCCTGCACATAACCTTCTAACTGTGCCCCTTTCCTTTTAGGTAGACTCAAGTGGGGAGATAGTGGAACTGGCAAAAGGTGGATGTCCCTGGAAGGAGCACCTCTACCACCTGGAGTCTGAGCTGTCACCCCCGGTCACCATTGCCTTTGTTATCTACACCGACCAGGAGGGGCAGTGGCGAGTGCAGTGTGTGCCCAAGGAGCCCCACTCGTTCCAGAGCCGGTGAGCCCCAGGGAGAGCGCCCTGTAGACCTCTCGGCCTCTCAGAAGCGGCCACTAACTTGGGCCTTTGCTGTACTCCCTTAGGTCCTCAGGCCTCCATTTGCTTCCACCAACTTCTCTCTGCTCACTTGCAGGCTGCCCCTGCCGGAGCCGTGGCGCGGTCTTCGGGATGAAGCCCTGGACCAGGTCAGTGGGATTCCTGGCTGCATCTTTGTCCATGCCAGCGGCTTTATTGGTGGGCACCACACCCGAGAGGGTGCCTTAAGCATGGCCCGTGCCACCTTGGCTCAACGCCCAGGCCTTCCACAGATCTCCTAAGTCAATAAAATTTCTCTCTCATTCTGACCAAGTCCTTGCCCCATTGTCCTGCACCGTTCTGGGAACTTGCTGAACTTGAGGGAGTGAAACATCTGTGATGTTCCAGAGCCTCTGCTAGGCACCTCCCTCAGCACTACCTAGTTCCTAAGGTGAAATAATTTGGCCCAATTCACAAGTGGCTAAAAAGTGACAGTATCTTTACCCAAAGTACATGCCTCTTTTTACCCCCCTTTCTTCCCCACTATACCCCAGTGCAACTCCAGGAAAAAGTAAATCTGTTCATTAAATGGAAAACACAGAAGGGAATTTTTTATTATTGGAAGTGGGGGTGAGGGGAGTGGCACAGAGCAGGTCCTGGGAGAGGGTCCCAAGGGGCAGAAGTTGGTGATGTCTCAGTAAAGAGGGGCAGATCATGAGTGGAACCTCCACCCCCAGCTGGGGGCTCCTGGGTTCGGCCCAGCACTGGGCTAAAACGTGGAAACTGGGCATTGACAAAGTACAGTGGGATGTGGGCGATTCGTCCTGTGGACCAGCACTGCAGAGAGGCGAAAGTAAAGCCTATTGAGAGCCTGGGCCAGAGGAAGGCCACATAGCAGGGCCACGTGGCAGTCAGGGCACCTCACCCCACTCCCCAAACCCCAGCAACCTGGTCTACTCACCACACTGAGCAGAGCCCCTTTGTTGAAAGCAGGATGGAAAGTGATGAGCTGGGCCTGGGCTCCTGGCTCTCCCTGGATGATGCCACTAGGGAGAAAAGGTGAGTCAGCAGCGGGGGGCAGGAGGGGTGCAGCAGGATTGGGGTTTGGTGTGGGAAGGCTGGTGAGGAGCCCAGACCGAACGTCTACCCAGCACTTACCAAGGCAGTAGCTCAAATACAGGGCTGTTTCGAGTGCGGAAAAGGAGGATGACTGGTTTGCCATCCTGGACCCGTGGGTTTCCTGTAAGAATGGATGCGGGGAGAAGGAGGAACTCGAGGCAGATTCCAGGGCAGGGAGAAACTGCAGCCAGAGATGGGCACAGCTAGTGTGGGGGATGGCCGTGACCCGAGTCCTCCCTCCCCGCTCACCTTTCATGAGCACAGCCAGGCGCTCCCCACTTGGATCCCAGACCATGGAGTGAGCTTCTCCCCCAAGCCTGTGAGGAGACAGTGGGTTGGGAGGGCTCAGCGCGGTCCCACTCACCGCTCCCCCCTCACCCACTCTGCTCACCTCTCCTCTCCACTCGGGGTCTGTATTGTCGTCTCAGAGAGGTCTGCCACTATCGTTGCCGACTTCGCTCCTCCGACTCGCCCCTGCCCCTCACCTGGGGATGAAGGGAGAAGCGGTTCACACAGGCAGAGAACCTCCTGCTGACCCCTGCCGTGTCTCCGTCACAGCTCCAGTGCCTCTGCAGTCTCCCAAGCTCCTATACCTGCCTTACCTTTCAGAGTAGCATGTTCAGCGGGTTCCTGCCTCTGACTTCCCCCAGATACTCCGTAGCCAGAAGTGTTTCCCCAAACTCACCACAGCATTCTGGGAATGACAAGGAGTAAACCAGCGGCTCCCCCAGTACAGTGAAGAGTAACCGGTTTCCATCTGGGCTCCAGCAGCCTGTCTGGGGTCAGAAAGCAAAAGCCAAGGGTGTTCTGCGGGGGAATGCAGGGGGGAAAGACGTAGAAGACGAGGAGAGACAAGTTGGGGGGGATCCAGCGTCCACCTCTTCCGCACTTTCTGTGAGTCACAGCCTCCTCTTACCTGACAGCGCCCTGACAGAGTGGGCCACCTCTCACAAGTCCACATCTGGGCCTCCCAGACTCTACAGGGAAATCACAGCTTAGGGCCACTACATTCGAAAACTTGCACTTAACTTCCCTGTCAGTCCCAGGAGCCAAGGGCCTTCCTCTCGGCCCTCACTCTCCCCTCCCCCCACTCACCGAAAGACAGCTGAAGGCGTAGTAGCCAGGACTTTGCTGCCATCCGGGGACCAGAGCAGGTTGGTAACCCCACCTCCCCGGAACCAGGGGAGGGGAACACAGGTCTCTGTGGAGACATCCCACACCTGGGGAGTGGAAGCAGAAGAGAGACGGGAAACTCAAGCGTCCCTGTCTCCTCCCGGGGGCGGCCCTTCCCTGAGGCACGAGGACACAGAATGGGGAGAAAGTGGGAGAGCAGCTTAAAAACCGGAGTAAGTTTATATTTGTAATTACAGCGGGCAGAATTTTCGTCTAGATGATGCAGCTCCCTGCCTGGGTAAGACTGAACAGATAATTACCCCTCTCCTTCCCCCAGGATATTTTCCACCACCAGATGGTGGAGGAACGCGCGCTCCTCGAGCTGAGGGCTGGCTGAAGTGACAGCTAAGCGGGTAGGGACAACTCACCAGGATAGCGGCATCCACAGGTGAGGCTGAGAGCAGCCGCCCCCCACTGGGGGCCCAGGCCAGGCTGGTGACGGGCGTGTGCCCAGGGTGGGAGAGCACTTGGGCGCAGCCAGAGGAGGGCCTGCAGGGGAAACAGTGTGGTCAGAAAACTGTGATCTGGTTTCCTCACCTCCTCCTCCCGAAGCCTCTAAATCCCAACGCCCCCGGCCGAAGCTCCCCAGATTGGGGGAAATGAATAAGGATCCAAGGAAGGCTTGGATCCTATAGGCTCCAAGGAGACAAAATTTTGTGGCCCGTAAAACCAGAACGTGCTGAGCCAGAGAAAGGTCACATGCTCCATCCTAGACAACAGCCCCCTCCTCAGAAGCATCCACCGCAGAGCCTGGGACAATCTATGATATCCCCTCAAGGTGCCAATCTTTTTCCTGAGCTACCTACCACCCCTCCCGCCAGAAGCCAGCCTGTGCTCCAAAGCCCATCTTCCTGCCTTTCCTTGTCAGAGTCAGTGTCGCTCCTCTGAGTTCCCCACTCTGGTGAATCTTCTCCCCTCAAACAACTCTGGCCTGCACTCCAGTTCTTTTACACATACACACACACGAAAGGTGTAGAGTGGCTGAAAGAATTTCAAAGTCGGGGCCTCCCTGGTGGCCTAAGTCTTAAGGGCTTAAGTCTCAGCACTATCAAGCTCTTGGCAGTCACTGCAGCAAGACAAGTTAGATCCCTGGCCAGGGAGCAACCCACATGGCGCAGCAGACCTCTCCTGTCTCCCCGCTGCTCCCCTCAGCGGTGTATTTCAGTCAACCCACCTGTTCTGCTCCCTATTCTGTCTGTGGTGATTTTTCTCACCCCCCATACCTGTGGCCTACACCCCAATTCTTATATGCATCAATAAATAAAAATAAGTCTTTTATTAAAAAAATACCATGGGACAACGATGAAACAGATTACCACGTCAGAATCAGAGGTTGCTGGACTCACCGGGTAGACAAGGAGGTGGGGTCCAGGGTCCAGATGAGAATGCAGCTCTGACAGGCCACAGCCAAGACAGAGGCACTGAGGGGCTTCCAGGCCAGAGCTGCCACATTCCGCTGCAGCCGGTGCTTCAAGGAGGGGACTATAGTGCTGGGGTGAAAGGGCAGGGGCTGAGTCAAAGCAGGGCCGAGTGCGGTGCAGGAGGGAGAGGCCGACAAGCAAGCTTCGCCCAGGAGTACGGTGGCACGGAATAAAGGTTAGATCCGGAAAGAGGACACATGCAGCAGAGGAGCCTCCGGCCCCAGTTCTGGAAGAAGCCCTGTGGCCCAGGCCCAGGAACTGCAGGACTCCCCCGGGAACAAGGCTGAGAGGAAAGGGGAGCGCAACGCGTCCAAGCCCGCCCAGGTGGCTCCACACACCTGTTAGCGTTGTACACGCGGATCGAGTCGTCTAACAGCGCCACCGCGAACTTGTTGGTGTGGGGGTGCCACGCAAAGACCCGCAAGCAGCAGCTGGACCTGGCAGGAGCGAGCCTGAGGAAGCTAAACCCGCACCCACCCAAGCCCAGCCCGGATCCTTTCCCGTGAGCACAGGTTTGTTTTTTGGTTTTTTTTTTTTTTTTTTTTTACTTTTATTTCATTTCTCCTTAGGAGGTAAGAGAATGTGGGGAGCAGTCAGGAAAGGGGTGGGAGTAGTTACTGCCTTGACTTCTGTCTCCCCAAAACCAGTTCCAAGGTTAGGAACTTCATTCCCACAAAACCCCGGAGCTGAACACTCACCAGTTTGTGACCTGGGCAAATTCAGCAATCAGGTCTTCACTCCTGAGCTAAGAACAAAGCCAGCGGATGGAGGCGGCCCATGCGCGGAGGCCAGGGGGGCTTAGCCCGTGGGGGCGTTAGGCCATGCCCACCCCCTGCAGTCTGCCCACCCTGACCTCGGGGATAAGCAGTGGAAAGAAGGCAAAGGGTGGGGGCAGCAGTCAGGAAAGGAGAGGTGAGGAGGCCACACTTACAGACAGGTGGGGGAACAGGGACCCGTGGAGGGAGGCGGCCCACCGACAGAGAGCCAGGGCCCAGCTGGACGCCGTCTTCACCCACTCAAACACTGTGGGATTGAGGAAGCAGCTCTGGTTAAACCACTCACAGCCTCTCACTGGTGCCCTCTTGGGTGAGTGAAGAGTAAGGACAAGCGCTCCCCACATCTGCCTGCCCCACAAGTGCTCTAGATGCTTCACTCTGAACACCCACTCCGGAGCACTTGGCGGAGGTAGAGGGGAGAAGCGAAGATGGCACCAACCTAGACAACTGGTCAGGACAAATAGGGCTTAAGAGAAAGGGGCTGGGCCAGCAGGAAGTGGGATGGGTCAGGGAGAGTATGGAAGGGAGTTGCCCACCATAAAACTAGCAAAAACAGGAGGGAAAAATACTTACCCTCCTCCTCTGAGTTTGCAATTTCATTCAGCACCCCAAAAAGGCCCATATCACGCCTGATGAGGAGAGGAAGTTATGGGTCAGACTACTCTGAGCCCTTCCGTCTCCCCACTGTAAACTGCATTCACTCAATAAACATTAAAAATAAGAGCACTCCCACTTAATGACCGCTATGTGCTGTGGACTTTACATATTATCCTCTTATTGCATTACCACACTAATCTTCTGAAGAGCATTCTGCCCATTTTACCAATGAGGCCC